GAGGCTGAGGTAGGAGGATCAATTGAGGCCTGGAGTTCAAGACCAGCCTGGGCAATATAATGAGAATCTGTCTCTACAAACAACAAAAAAAAATTTAAATTAGCTGGATGTGGTGGCACACACCTGCAGTCCTAGCTACTCGGGAGGCTCGGGAGGATCACTTGAGCCCAGGAGTTTGAGGTTACAGTGAGCTATGATCAATTGCACCACTGAACTCTAGTCTGAGTGACAGAATGAGACCCCATCTCTAAAATATACATATATATTAAAAATGAAGTAAAAATAATTATAATTTAAATGTATATTATTACATGCCTAATTACCTTTATCAGTGCTATTTGTATTTTCTTGTGGATTTGAATTACTATATATACTATATATGCTTCTTTTTCACCCCAAAAAATTCCTTCAGTATTTCTCATAAGGCAAGTTTGCTAACTACAAATTTTTTCAACTTCCATTTATATGGAAATATCTTGATAATCACCTTCATTTTTGAAAGGTATTTTTCTTAGAATTAGGTGTCTTTGTTGACAGTTTTTTCTTTCAACACTTTAAATATGTCTGTCATCTTATTGTCTGCTGGCCTCCATTATGTCTGATGAAAAATCAGCTGTTAATCTTATTGTAAAATGTTTTTCTCTTGCTGCTTTTAAGATTTCCCTGCATCTTTCAATATTTTGACTATGCTTGTGTCTGGGTGTGGAATTTTTTTTGTAGTAACCCTATTTTAAGTTAGTTGAGCTTCTTGGATTTTTAGATTAATGTTTTTCATCAAATATGGAAAGCGTTTCTGCTATTTTTTGAAAAATTTTATGCTACTTCCTCTCTTCTGTTGCTCTTCATAATTGATGCACTTAATGGTGTCTGACATTTCTCTGAGGATTGTTTGTTTTCTTCATTTCTTTCTGTTTTTCAGATTGCAATAATCTCTCATCTTCAAGTTACTGAATTCTTTGTTCTGACAGTTGAAAACTATTCTTGTGCCTCTCTAGTGAATTTTTCATTTCAGTCCTTGTGCTTTCAACCTCAGAATTGTCATTTGTTTCTGTTTTGTAATTTCTATCTCTTTATTGATGTTCTCTATTTGATGAATCATTGTCATCATACCTTCCTTTAACTTTTTATACTATCTTTAGAATCAGTTTGTTGATATTCACAAAATAATTTACTAGGATTTTATTGGGATTGCATTGAATGTAGTTGAGAATTAAACTATGAGAATATTGTGTCTTCCAATTCATGAACGTGGAATATCTATTTATTTAGATCTTCCTTCATTTCTTTTATCAGAGGTTTGTAGTTTTCCTTATATAGGTCTTGTACATATTTTGTTAGATTTATACCAAAGGTGCTTTTTTTTTTTGGTGCTGATGCAAATAATGTTTTCAATTTCAAATTCCAATTATTCATTGCTGGTATATAGGAAAGTAGTTGTTTTTTATATATTAACCTTTTATCCTGCAACTTTGCTATAAATGTTTGTTTTTTCCAGTTTTTTTGTTGTCAATTCTTTGTGATTCTCTACATAGAAAATCTTCTCAACTGTGAATACAGTTTTATTTCTTTCTTTCCAATCTATACATTTTCTTTTCTTGTCTTATTGCATTAGCTAGGAATTTTCATATGATGTTAAATAGGAGTGGTGACAGAAGAAATCCATGCATTATTCCTGATATTACTAGGAAAACATCAAGTTACTATTAAGTGTAATGTTAGCTGTAGATTTTTTTGTAGATGTTCTTTATCAAGTTGAGGAAGTTCTTCTTCATTTCTAGTTTGCTGAGAGGTTTTATTATGAATGGGTATTGGATTTTGTCAAATGTTTTCTCTGTTTCTATTAATATGATCATGTGATTTTTCTTATTTAGCCTGCTGATGTGATAGATTATATTGCTTTTCAAATATTGATCCAGCCTTGTAAATATTCAATAAATCTTGTTAATTTGTTTCACTATAGTAACCATTTCACTATACATGACATATGTATCTTATGTTTTATACCTTAAGTATACATAATAAAATTTATTTTAAACATCTCAATTGGTCATGGCATATTATTCTTATACATGTTGGATTTGATTTACTAATATTTTGTTGAGGATTTTTGCATCTACATTCATGAGAAATATTGGTCTATAGTTTTCCTCTCTTGTAATGTCTTTGTCTGCTTTTGGTATTAGAGTAGGGCGTAAGAATGAATTAGTAAGTATTCCCTCTGCCTCTGTCTTCTGGAAGAGATTGTAGAGAATTGGCAAAATTCTTTCCTTAAATATTTGGTAGTGTTCACCAGTGAACCCATCTGGGCCTGGTGCTTTCTTTTTTGGAAGTTTATTATTGATTCAATTTCTTTTATAGGTGTGGACTTATTCAGATTATTTATTTCCTCTTGTATGAGTTTAGTACATTGTGTCTTTCAAGAAATTGATCTGCTTCATCTAGGTTATCAAATTGTGGGCACAGACTTGTTAATATTTATTATTCTTTTAATATAAATGGCTAGTAGTGATAGTCCCTTTTTAAATTTATAGTATTAGTAATTTGTGTCTTCTTTTTTCTTAGTCTGGCTAGAGGTTTATCAATTTTATTAGTGAGCAAATGTTAGTAATTTTGATAAGGTTAATCTGTCGAGTTCATCTTTTATGAATATTTTTTGGTAAGACCTATTCACTAGGTCCAGAACACTTTCTCTGGTTTTTTTTTTTTCTTAAAGTTTTATAGTTTTATGTTTTACTTATTTAAATCAATGATCCATTTTTAAGTTACTTTTGTGTAAGGAGTGAGGTTTAGGTAGAGGGTTTTTTTTCTTTCTCCTGTGAAATCCAATTGCTCCCCCTGATAACTCTTATAAATCATCTCTATCACAAATTATCATGACTAAATAATCAACTTACTCTACTTTTTGCTAAAACAAACCTGCTGAAAAGAATACAAATTTTGATTGGGGGAATAGGGTGGGTTGGGTTTATAATCTTTTGGCAGTTATAGGGGGAGTGTTTCCATTGAGACTTTATGCATCTGGAGCTCAATATGAAAATATCAGAAGGCAGGGGAACAAGGCTGCCCCAGATCGGGGTGAAAAGGAGAAAGTAAGTTCATTAAAACTAACTTCCCTCAATTCTATCCTTTTGCCTAGAGATCATATCATAGCATAAACCCAAAGTTAAAAAACAAAACAAAAAAACTTGAGTGTCAATTTGAAAACAAGTTACTCCAAGGCATAAAGTATACCTTAAACCAGTGTTTCTCGAATTTTAGTCATCTGTGGATTATTTGAACAAATTTGCCATAATTTCCTTGACATCTTAATGGTATCAATACAATCATCAGGTGGTGCTTTAGAGACTGATTAGCACAATATGTGAGGTACTATACATAAAATCAAGACTTTGATCAAATCACTATTCTTTTCCTAATAGGTCTGACATAAAGTCACTGCTTTACTGTGAGAATTTGGATCCAGATCGGCTATTCTCACTAGGAATCAGAAATCAAAATGAAGTTTTAAAATGATGCCCTACTGGCAAGTAGAAAAGGACTATGGGTGGGTAGTTGGAGAACAGAATACATACATAATTTATTTAGTAGCAGTATTCACATTTTTGTTGAAAGTATAAATGTGGTCAACACTATTACTTTTATTTGCAAATGGAATAGCTAAACAGTATAAAGACCTGTACTTGACATTTTATCAAGATTATCTGACATCAAATTACTCATATGCAGGTTTCCAGGGACCTGGAATTTTTCTTTCACCTAGAAAGGAGTATGCAGTGAGAATAACAGTTTATGGTATTTTTATTTAAAAAAAAAAAAAAAGAATCAGCATAGTCAAGTTGTCTTAGTCTGAAGGATTTCTGGATTTCGTCCTTGGAGGAGGTCAGTATCTTCCCAATGCCTGGGTCCTCGAATATTCTTCCAATCATCAAAAGTGGAGTCCTTTATTTTCTATAGAACCACAAAAAATTAAAGTATACATATTAGCAAAGGAGCCTTGTGGCTTTGATTAGGACATTACTGAATAAATGAATAAATGAGTGGAAAGAATCCAATAGGCCCCCAAATACAATTTTAGCAAATAAATCAACTGCAGACCAACCATAATTGAAGAAATGTCATATTTCTTAAAATTTAGAACTTTTCTTATTTGTTATTGTTGTTAATGTCCACCTTTCTCTATAATTATAAAACTACTAAATAGAAAAAAAGTGTACATGCCTTTATTTTTGAGAGCACAAAAAGATGAAAAAGCTGGGAAAACAAAAGTCCATTATCTGAAGGCTGATCCAGTATAATAATGACTAAAAGGGTTAACACAGAGGATGGTAGAAAATTAGAAGAAAAGAACAAAGGTGCAGTCCTAAAGTCTTCCCCAAGAAAGAAAAGAGACTAAGATGTTGTCTTGTGCCTGAAAAATGAACCTGGGCTTAAGAATGCAAAGAATTTTCCCACATATACCATGAGCAAAACCTTTTTGGGCAATCGAAACTAATTTTAACTATTAATGCATTTTAGATTTTCCTGTCTCTATTTAGTCTGAAGTTTCTGTCAAGCAAAGAAATGAAGGTAGGATAAAAGGGAAGAGGATGAATGTTTCTTGACTCTTCTATTGACCACCACTCTAACAGTAACTTTTATGCATCTGCTGCTTTGATTGTTCTGAAATAATTGAGTAAGATAGAAAAAAATGGCTCAGAAAACACACAATTGCTTATAACCAGAGATAGGGAAAATGGTATAAATTTACCTTGACACTTGGATACTAAGCATTATTCTTTTACGAACTAGCTGTTTAAACTTTGGCAAGTGGTTTAAAGTGGTTTAAGCCACCTCAGCATTAACTCTCTTTTAAGCAATAATAAAAAGACTAGACCGAATGGTCTATACGGTTTCTTCAGTTCTCAAATTCTGTGGTTTCTAAAAGAACTAGAAGGAAAATCTACTCCCAAACAAACCCTCCACAACATCACTATTGGCATACTACTTATGTATCTACAAGTAGCAAGTTACAGTTTTTAACCAAATAATGGGAAAGGAGTGAATAAAAACATTGTCTAAATTTCACTCACAGTTTTATCAATAGTCTGTGTTAAATATATATGGAGGAACAAAATTATACTAATTTAGCATTCAAGAAGGTGGCAAGGCATTTTCTTTCTTTCTTTTTAATATATATTTTTTTATTTCAGCATATTATGGGGGTATAGATGTTTAGGTTATGTATGTTGCCCTTGCCTCCCTTCCCCGCCGCCAAGTCAGAGCTTCAAGCGTGTCCATCCCCTAATGGTGCACATTGCATTCGTTATGTATGCATATACCCATCTCCTCCTCCCCACTCCCATCTGCCTGACACCCAATAGATGTAATTCTTATATGTGCACTTATGTGTTGATCAGTTAATATCAATTTGATGGTGAGTACATGTGGTGCTTGTTTTTCCATTCTTGGGATACTTCACTTAGTAGAATGCGTTCCAGCTCTGTCCAGGAGAATACAAGAGGTGCTATATGACCATTGTTTCTTAAAGCTGAATAGTACTCCATGGTATACATATACCACATGTTATTAATCCACTCATGTATTGATGGACACTTGGGTTGTTTCCACATCTTTGCAATTGTGAATTGTGCTGCTATAAACATTCGGGTGCAGGTGTCTTTTTTAGAGTGTCTTTTGTTCTTTTGGGTAGATGCCCAATAACGGGATTGCTGGATCGAATGGTACTTCCACTTGTATCTCTTTAAGGTATCTCCATATTGCTTTCCACAGAGGTTGCACTAGTTTGCAGTCCCACCAGCAGTGTATGAGTGTTCCTATCTCTCCGCATCCACGCCAACATTTATTGTTTTGGGACTTTTTGATAAAGTTCAGTCTCACTGGAGATAAGTGGTATCTCATTGTGGTTTTGATTTGCATTTCCCTGATGATTAGAGATGTTGAGCATTTTTTCACATGTTTTTTGGCCATTATTCTGTCTTCTTTTGAAAAGTTTCTGTTCATGTCCTTAGCCCATTTTTTGATAGGGTTGTTTAATTTTTTCTTGCTGATTTTCCTGAGTTCTAAATAGATTCTAGTTTATCAGCCCTTTATCGGATTTGTAGCATGCGAAAATTTTCTCGCATTCTGTAGGTTGTCTGTTTGCTCTTGTGACAATTTCTTTGGCTGTGCAGAAGCTTTTTAATTTGATCAGGTCCCATTTATTTATTTTTGTTGTTGCTGTGATTGCCTTTGGGGTCTTCTTCATAAATTCTTTGCCTAGGCCAATGTCTAGGAGAGTATTTCCAAGATTTTCCTCTAGAATTCTAATAGTTTCACTCCTTGGGTTTAAGTCTGTTACCCAGCATGAGTTGATTTTTGTGAGAGGTGCATTTTCAAGTGTAGTTATGAAATAATCTGAAGTTATGAAAAGGTTTTAATAAAGAATAATAGCCATTATCCAGGTAACATAAGATATATGCTTAAGAGAATTTAAGGTAATTCTTAGATGAGATGCAAGGTTGGCAAAAAAAATTCGTGCAAAAGTGGTCCAGTCTTTAGAGATCTTTGGTGAAGGAGAAATTCTTTGTAGAATTCTGTAAAACATGCAGAGTGGCTAAAGACTGGGTTGTATATAAATGTGCTGGGCAAGACCACCAAAGACTTACCACTTAGCTAACAGCTATAGGATTAAGAGTGGAACAGAGTCAAGAAATGTTGAGGAAAAACAGTGTCAAGAATATGGGATTTTAAGGCAGGTGTGGTGGCACATGCCTGTAATACCAGCTACTTGGGAGGCTGATGCCGGAGGACTGCTTGAGCCCAGGAGTTTGGGACCAATCTGGGAAATAGAACAAGACCCTGTCTCTACAAAGAATGGGGAAAAAAAACTAGCTGGGCGTGGTGGCATGCACCTGTAGTCCTAGCTATTTGGGAGGCTAAGGTGAGAGTATCACTTGAGCCCACTATTATGAGGCCGCAGTGGGCTATAAACATGCCATTGCACTCTTGCCTGAGTCACAAAGTGAGACCCTGTCTCCAAAAAAAACAAAAAAAGAGAGAGATTTTTCAGCTCTGCCAGTATGGAGATTTCTCCGTAATACCTTGTTGCTACCTTGACAACCACAAGACACCAAAAAGGCTGTTCTTCAGGAGTAAAGATTATGTCTGAAAATAAGACTTACTTTAGACTCATCCCAAGCTTAAAGCCAACACCTACCTGTCAAGATCCTCTAGGGAGGCAGTTTCAAGATTGAGTCCCACCAAGTTAGAGGGGCCTAGAAAAGACCATAGCCTTTCCACAGATACTCTCTTACAAGGCACAAAACCAAGTTCAAGGTGATTAGCCAATAATTAAACTGCCTGCTAAAATGAAAATCAACACTTTTCAAATTTTCTTCAATATATTATTCAAAAGGTCTACTTTTCAACCAAAAATGACAAGACATATACAGAAACAGGAAAACAGGATCTGGTAAAAAAAAAACAATCAAACTCTAAGAGATGGAGAACACCCTCCTTCACTACATCCCATAATATAGTGTGCTTTTAAACTCTTTGATTTTTGCTAATCAGATGGGTGGAAAATGATACCTCACTAAAACTTTAATTGATTAACATTCTATAATGATAAATTGAGCATAGGAATTCATACTTATTTCCTTTCCTCTGAACTTTTTACATGCTTTGCCCATGTTCCTACTGACCAACTGAGTTGTTGTATTTTTTCATATTGATTTGTAGGTGGTCTTCATATTTAAATAAACTAATTTGTCATGATAAGACAAACTATATTTTTAGGATTTCTCCTGTAACTTATGACTTTACATACATTAGTTTTTTAGGTTGAACTTTTGAATTTTTATGTATGAAACTATTAATCTTTACTTTTATAGCTTATGGGTTTTATATCACATTTAAATAGGCTTCTCTGACTCAAAACCACAAAAAACAAATCTCCATTTTTTTTTCCTGGTACTTTCAGCATTTTGTTTTTATTTCTAAATTCTTTATCCATCTGGAATTTATTTAGTTGCAGTATATTAAATATGCACCCATCTTTATTTTCTTTTCAAATGACTATATAGTTTACCAAATGTCATCTATTCAAGATAAATTTTTTTTTTCTGCACTATTGATAATTTAAGTTTACTTTAAGGCAGATAAAATCAGTTGCTGACTAGTACGACTGGTATAGGACAAAGACTATATTAACATACTGTACCTCATACTCTGACTCTAAAGATACTTTATTTTCTTTCAGTTTTTTTTCCAATTCAGGATCAATCTGTAGAAAAGAAAGAGGCATCACACGTTATTTAAGTCTGTGAGATTCAATTTTTGATTTTAAAAGTAATAGAAGGGATGGCTGAAATAATATGGCCGAATACAAACACATGGCAAAATCTTCGCCATCCACTCTAATCACATAATCGCAACTAATGTACCACTACCACCACTATTGCAACTAACAACAGGTAATATTTACTGAGTAATTTTTATGTGTAAGGCATTTTGGCATATGTTATCTTGTTTAACCCTGAAAAAAGCCTGTAAGTATTATTATTATCCCTATTATCACAAGTAAGGAAAATGGGACATAGGGAGTTTGAATAACTTGTCAAAGAGGCAGAGCTTAGCTTTGAGCATTGGCCCTCTGCTTCCAGAGTCCACATCATTAATCAGCAACCTAAATTATGTTACACAGAAATGACATACAAGATACTACTAAATATAATGCTGCACTTGAAAACAAAAAAAGACACCTTCCATAGACCAGAAATAAAGAGACATCTATGAAAAAAATAGGATTCCGTAGCACTAAATAGGAACTAATGCCATGCTACTCATATAAAAAGTCTTTTTTGTGTGTGGCAAAGTGTTTAGGAAAGAAGTGTGATGGCTGAAATCAATAAATAACCAACCAAATTAAATTAAATGAAATAGCTGAACAGTGAGTGATGAACACAGTCTAAGACCAAATAAGTAAACCAGAAATATAACCAGAGGATTCCACTAGAATAATGTACCAAGAGATAAAAATGAGATGGATAAAAGAAAAGGTGCATTAGGAAAGGTAGATCTTAAAGTTCTAACATATATCTACTAGAGGTTCCAGTATTAGAGAATAAAGAAATGGAAGGAAATGCAATAATTATATAAAAATAGCAAAGAATTACTACTCCAAGGTCTAATGCCCTACCAGGGACGTCCTACCCTCGAGCTGCCAGTACACTGGGACCGGGTTCAAGCAAACACCCATAAGCCCAGGAACCATGGCCACTGCCTAGACAGCCTCATCCAGCTGCCACTGTCACCTGTGCAGGGAGATTCCGGGCAGAGCAATCCCCACGATACCAGCCTCCATGGAGAGGGTCTCGCACAGGCTTAAACAGTGACAATCACAGCTGAACAGGACAAATCAGAGCAGCTACATTACAGACTTCTAGTGTACATGCCCTTCCCCTGCCATGTCAACATTCCAGAGTACAAAAACAAGCACTATCTAAGGACCTTCCCTTCTTCTAATTAAGCAGGAGAGCTCCCACAAAAGACAGGTGCCCTGCCAACCTATTAGCCCTAAGTTGAGAAAAGAGGTTTCAGATGAGAAGAAACCAGCAAAAGAACCCTGGCAACATGAAAAAACAAAACAGTTCAACACCCTCAAGGGATCACAATGGAGTGAATTACAGTAGTGAATTCCAACCACAAGGAAATTGCCAAAATGACAGAAATGGAATTCAGAATATGGATGGCAAATAAGATGAATGGAATTGAAGAGAAAGTTGAACACCAACAAAAAGAAGCCAAAAAAGTATTTCAGGAAATTAATAAAAAAGTCACTAAAGAGCTAAACAACATAAGAAAGGATATAATAGAGCTTCAAGAATTGAATCATTTAGGGAATTCAAAACACAGCAGAAAGGTTCAGCAACAGACTAAACCAAGAAGAATCTCAAGCCTCTCGAGCTAACTCAGAAATTTAAAGAGGCAGTGAAGAGAATAAAAAAGACAGAGAAATCACTTAGAGAGATACGGGACTGTGCGAAGCAAACTAACATACAAATTATAGATATCCCCGAGACAGAAGAAGAAAGAGATAAAAGCATGGAAAATCTATTAGAGGGAATTACTGAGGAAAACTTCCCTGGTATTGCCAGAGATCCAGACATCCAGATACAAGATGATCATCAAATACCAGGAAGATTCACAGCAAACAGGACATCTCCAAGACACATAGTAATCTACCTGGCCAAAGTCAAAAGGAAGAAAAAAATTCTACAAGCAGCAAGATGTAAGTAACAACTGACCTACAAGGGAAAACCCATTAGGCTAACAGCAGAGTTTTCAGTGGAAACCGTACAAGCCAGAAGGGAGTGGGGCCCCATCTTTAATCTTCTTAAACAGAACAACTGCCAGCCTAGAATTCTGTATCCTAAAAAACTAAGTTTCACAACTGATGGAGAAATTAAGTCTTTTCCAAACAAGCAAACACTAAGGGAATTTATCAAGACCAGACCTGCTCTGAAGGAAATACTCAGAACTGGATTTATACACGAATCAGCACAATAGATACCCACCAGTGTAAAATCACCTAAAAAAGCTAAAGCTCATAACTCTTATAAAACACAAAAGGGAAAACAAAGCAATAAAGTTCTACTCAATATGATGAACGGAACAGCATCCCACATATCAATTCTATCTCTAAATGTTAATGGTTTAAATGTGCCACTCAAAAGATTGAATGGATGAAAAAAAACCAAGTATCTACTGTCTCTAGCAGACACAACTAAACCGCAAGGACACACAGAGGCTCAATGTGAAAGGATGAAAAAAAAATATTCCATGCAAATAGAAACCAAAAGAGAGCAGGTGTAGCCATTCTCGTATCAGACAAAATTAACTTTAAATCAATAACAGCAAAGAAAGACAAAGATGATCATCATATAATGGTAAAGGGAGCAATTCAACAAGAAGACATAACAATCCTAAATATATATGCACCTAATACAGGAGCTCCAAGATACATAAAACAAATTCTACTAGAGCTAAGCAAGGAAATAAATACTAGCATCGTAATTGTCGGAGACTTCAACACTCCACTGTCACAGCTGGACAAAGCAGAAAATAAATTTAAAAAACACTGGACTTAAATGGGACCCTAAAACAAATGTACCTAACATTTACAGAACATTCTACCCCAAAACAATTGAATATTCATTCTTCTCATCAGCACATGGGACATTCTCCAAGACTGCTCACATCTTAGGCCATAAAACATATCTCAACAAATTCAAAAAAATACAAATCATACCATATATCTTCTCAGAACAAAGTGGAATAAAACTAGAAACCAATTCCAAGAATAAGACTCAATTCTGCAGAAAGTCATGGAAATTAAACAACCTGCTGCTGAATGACTGTTGGGTTAATAATGAAATTAAGATGGAAATCAAAAGATTCCTTGAATTGAACAACAAAGGGGATACAGCTATCAAAATCTTTGGGATTCAGCACCATTCCTACGGAGAAAATTCACACCCTTAAATGCCCACATCAAAAAGTCAGGAAGGTCACAAATTAAAAACCTAATATCACATCTCAAGGAACTAGAAAAGGAAGAGCAAACCAAACCCAAAGCCAGAAGAAGAAAACAAATAACAAAGGTTAGAGCAGAACTAAATGAAATGGAAAACAACAACAACAAAAATTACGAAAGTTCACTGAAACAAAAAGTTGGTTCTTTGAAAGATAAAATTGATAGACCTCTTGCTAAATTAACCAGGAATATGAGAAAGGACCCAAATAAGCTCAATCAAACGAAAAAGAAGATACTACTACTGATAGCACAGAAATACAAAATATCATCTGTAAATACTATGAAAATCTCTATGCACATAAACTAGAAAACATAGAGGAAATGGACAAATTCCTGGAAACACACAACCTTCCAAGACTCAGTCAGGAAGAAACAGAATTCCCGAACAGACCAATAATGAGCAGCAAGATTGAAGCAGTAATAAAAGGTTTTCCAACACAAAAAAGCCCTGGACCAGATGGATTCACAGCCAAATTCTACCAGACCTACAAAGAACGGTACCCATACTGCAGAAATTATTCCATAACATCAAGAAGGAGGAAATCCTCCCCAACTCATTCTACAAAGTCAGCATCACCTTGATACCAGAGCCAGGAAAGGACACAACAAAAAAAGAAAACTACAGAACAATATCCATTATGAATATAGATGCAAAAATCCTCAATAAAATACTAGCAAATTGAATTCAACAACACATCAAAAAAATAATCCACTATGACAAAGTGAGCTTCATTCCAGGGATGCAAGGATGGTTCAACACACGATAAGCAATAAACGTGATTCATCACATAAACAAAAGCAAAAACCAAAATCATATGATCATCTCAATACATAGAGAAAAAGCATTAGACAAAATCCAGTACCCTTTCAAGGATAAAAACCCTCAACAAACTAGGCACAGAAAGAACATATCTCAAAATTATAAAAGCCATATATGACAAACCCACAGCTAACATCATACTGAATGGAAAAAGTTGAAAGCATTCTACCTAAGAAGTGGAACAAGACAAGGGTGCCCACTGTCACCACCTCTATTCAACAGAATGCTGGAAGTCCTACCCAGAGCAATCAGGCAAGAGAAAGAAATAAAGGGAAATTGGGAAAGAGGAGGTCAAACTATCACTTTTTGCTGATGATATGATCTTGTTTCTAGAAAACCCCAAAGACTCCACCAGAAGACTCCTGGAATTGGTGAATAAATTCAGTAAAGTCTCAGGTTATAAAATCAATGTATACAAATCAGTGGCATTTCTATATACCAATTAACAGTCAAGCTGAGAGTTAAATTAAAGACTCAATACTATTCACAATAGCTATAAAGAAAATAAAATACCTAGGAACATACTTAACCAATGAGGTGAAAGATCTCTACAAGAACTACAAAACACTGAGGAAAGAAATCGCAAATGACACAAACAAATGGAAAAATGTATGCTCATGGATCAATAGAATCAACATTATTAAAATGTCCATACTACCCAAAGTGATTTACAGATTCAATGCCATCCCCATCAAAATACCAATGGCATACTTCACAGATCTAGGAAAGATAATTCTACGCTTCATTTGGAACCAAAATAGAACCCGAATAGCCAAAGCAATCCTAAGCAAAAAGAACAAAGCTGGAGGCATCACATTACCAGACCTCAAACTATACTGGGCTATAGTAACTAAACAGCATGGTATTA